CTGCTTTTGAGATTTCCTTTAACACTGGCTTAGAGTATTGTGATTACGATTCCAGTGCCTTGGTGTGGTTTTCTCTATGCTTATTGTGCTTGGAGTTTGAAGAGTTTCTTAGATTGGAGGGTTCCCATCACATCTGGAAATTTTTTTATCATCCTCAAAGTATTATTTTCTGTTCCCTGCCCTCTTTCCTTCAAGGACTCCAATTCCAGGTACATCCGACTACCTGATGTTCTCCTATAGCTCATAGGAGCTATTTTTTTTTTCAAATATTTTTCTGTTTCATTTGGTTTCATGGTTTCTATCACTGTGTGTTTAAGTTCACTAATCTTTTCTTCTCCAATGTCTAATCTGCCCATTAATTCTTGCCCTATGCATTTTTCATTTCAAACGTTATAGTTTTCATTTACAGAAATTTTATTTCCATCTTTTCTGTTACACTGAACGTTGATCTTCCGTATCTCTGAAGTTTTAGAAAATATGGAACTCAGTTGTAATACTGTTTCAATGAACTTATTGGCTAATTCTGAATCCATGTCAATTTACTGATTAGTCTCTTCAACAAGGCCCATGTTTTCCCATATGTTTGTGTGTCTGATATTTCAATGGATGGAAGATATTGTAAATTTTACTTTGTTGGATGCTGAATACTTTTGGATTCCTATATGTATTTGTGTGCTTTGTTTCAGGATGCCCTTAAGTCATGTGGAAACAATCTGATATGGTCAGGTCTTACTTTTAGGAAATTCTGGGGCACACAAATTCCTCACTACTGAGACAAGACTTTTCTGAGCACTCTAACCAATACTCTGTGAATTGAGTTTTTCCACTCTGGCTAGTGGAAACAGTCTTTTCTAATCTGTGTGTGAGTGCTGCATACTGTTCCCTCTAATTCTTTTCAAAAGTTATTTCATTAATTTCCTCACACACACATGCTAATTAGCACTTCACTGAATACTCAAGGAGGCCCCTTTACAGATCTCCAGACTTCTCTCTCAGTGTAGGTGTCTCCTGCAGGCCACTAGCACTTCTGAACCCCTACAGCACCATGTTCTAGGAAAGTATGGCTGAGAGGTCTTCATCTGGCTTCCTCTACCTAGCTTCCTTTACCCCACTTGGAAGATCCATCCCAGCCATGCCAGTCTGAGAATACTGGAGCACCAAAATGCTTGGCACAAATAGCTGACTGGGAAGAGATTCCAGAGGAAACCAAGAAAACCAGAGACAACTGCTCCCCACCCAGATCCCTGATCATAAAGCATAGTGTCACTCTGAGAAAAACAAGACACTGTTCCAGCCCCTGAGATCCAGTATATTGGCACATAGCTTTCTTTTACTCAAGAACACAGGCAAGCCATAATAATAAAGAGCTCTAAAACTCTCCTCTAGAAAACTGACTTTGTATAGAAAAAAGCGTAGGTAAGTTCAAGCCTAAGGTCAACCTTGAAAACAATGGAAATTCAATGATAACCAATTAAGAAGGTGTTAGATCCATGAAAGCAAGCTAAACCACAAACCAACTGAAAGTCTACCGAAGATAACAAGGGAAAGAAACAGCCAAGAAAAGGCATCCAGGGCAATCAGATTTGTTCCTTTCTAACACGTTCATACAAATACATTAACATACAGATTTTCTACAATAATGATTTTGAAACATATTTTTTAGGAGATGACTTCTAGAATACTGGCATGAAAACTAACTTCAAAAACTGGCCTCAAAGACTACACTCTGAAATGGGCCCAAATTTAAATGGAGGAAACTGTAAGCAAAAATATAGCCCAGGGCACTGTTAAAAACAATAAAGAAATAAGTCAGCAATTAATAGAGGCTAATAGTGGAGGGTGATAGCAGGCAGACAGGCTAATCAGGAAAGGAGAAACTCAAAAAGAAATAATCAACCTGTAATTATTACTTCGTATAATTTGTTTCAGATTTTTAGATTTTTTTCAAATTTTGGAACATTTACATTATATATACTAGTTAAGTGTCCCAAGGCTAGAAATCCAAAGTCTGAAATGCTCCAAAGAGCATTTCCTTTCAGCATCATGTTGGACTCAAACAATTTTGCATTTTAGAGCATTTAAGATTTTCAGATTTGGGGTGCTGAACCTAACGATGCATTATTGAGATTTAAACATATAGTTGTAATATGTATAAAAATAATACCACAAATGAAGAAGAAGAACTAGAGTTACATAAGTAACAGTTCTGTATCTCACTGGCGTTAAGGCAGTATAAATCTAAAGTAGATTCTGATAGTTCTAGGGCAACCACTAGTTAAATAATTTTTTTAAATGAAAACAATCATTAAACGAATTAAAATGTTATACTATATCTACTTTGTGAAAAAAGCAGAAAACAATAGAAAATCAAAAAAGCATGAAAAAACAAAAAATAAAATGTAATATGTAAACCCAACTACAGATGTTTCTCAACTTACCCATCACACACCCATCATAAGTTGAAAATGCCATAAGTTAAAATGCATTTAATACCTAATAAACCCACTGTAAAGTTGAAATATTCTAAGTCAAATCATCGTAAATCCAGATGTTTTTTCACATAAAAGGTGGCTACATCCTAATAAATGCACTGTAAAGTTGAAAAAGTCTTAAGTTGAGCCATTGTAAGTCCAAATGCTCCTCAACTTCCAGTGGCATTACATCCTAATAAACTCATAGTGGAGTTAAAAAATCATCAAGTCAAACCACTGTAGTAAGTCAGGGACTGTCTATTGATTATAACAGAAAAATAGAAATGTATTTAAAAGACCAACAGAAAGGCAGCAATTCTCAGGTTGTACAAAATTCAAACACACAGTATATGCAAGAGATCTACTTTAGATTCAAAGATATAAATACACTGAAAATTAAAAGACAGAAATAGATTTTTCAAGCATATGGAATTCATAAGCCTGGAGTAGCTATCCTAATATCATACAAAAATATACTTTAATACAAAAACTATTGCTAAGGATAAAGAGGGACATTTTATAATGATAAAAAGATCAATCAATATAAAGAAACAATATAAAAAAACATAATTCTAAGCATATGTGTCGCTAACAACAGAGCTTCAAAGTACATGAAGCAAAAACTGACAAAATTGAAAGGAAAAATACAAAAGTCAACAATTGGAGACTTTAACATTCCACTTTCGATAGAAAAAATTGTCAAAATATAAATAAGGAAATAGAAGACATGAATGATAACATAAAGCAACCAGATCTAAGAGACAGAACACTTCACTTTAAAACAGAAAGACAGTCTTCAAAAGTGCATATGAGATATTTCCTTCCTCAGGATAGATTTAAAAGGATTCCCTGACCACAGCCAAAAGAAATCACAAATCAGTAACACAAAAGAATTCTGAAAATTCACAAATAGGCACAAATTAAGTAACTTATTCCTAAGCAAAAAAAAAAAGTCAAAGAAGCAATGACAAGGAAAATTAGAAAAACAGCTAAGATAAGTAAAAATGAAGATGTAACATGCCAAAACTTATGGGACACAGGTAAAGCATGCTTAGAGAAGAATTTGCAGCTGTAAATAACCACATTAAAAGGGATCTCAAATCAATAAACTAACCTTAGAACACTAGATAAGAAAAGTAATACAAACCCAAAGCAAACAGAAGAAAAGGAAACAAAAAAGATTAAAAATTAATGAAGGAGAGAATGGAAAAACTATAGCTGTTTCTTAGGGGAAAAATAAATCAACAAAATTGACAAAGCTCTGGTTAAACTGATTTTGGGAAGCAAAAGATTCAAATTACTAAAATTAAGGATAAAAGATATCACTAGCATTTGCACAGAAACAAAAAACAACTATAAGAGGGCTGGGCATGGTGGCTCACACCTGTAATCCTAGCAGCACTTTAAGGCAGGAGGATTGCTTGAGGTCAGAAGTTGGAGACCAGCCTGAGCAAGAGTGAGACCCTGTCTCTACTAAAAATAGAAAGAAGTTAGCTGGACAACTAAAAATATATATAGAAAAAATTAGCCAGGCATGGTGGCGCATGCCTGTAGTCCCAGCTACTTGGAAGACTGAGGCAGAAGGATTGCTTGAGCTCAGGAGTTTGAGGTTGCTGTGAGCTAGGCTGATGCCATGACACTCCAGCCTGGGCAACAGAGTGAGACTCTGTCTCCAAAAAATGGAAAGAATTATAAGAAAATGCTATAAACAACATATGCCAACAAATTATACAACTTAATGAAAAGGAAAAATCCCTATAACAAAAACTAATGAAATCAACTCAAGAAAAAATAAAAATCTGAAAAGACTTATAATAAGTAAAAAGATTGAATTAATAGTCTTAAAACTTCCCATTGAAAAAAAAAAAGCTCAGGTCCAGATGGCTTCAACAGGGAGTTTTCCCAAACATTTAAAAAGAAATATCAATTACAAGGAAAGGAAAAAAGGGAAAGGAAAGGGGAAAGGAAAAAGAAAAGGAAAGGAGAAAGGAAAGGAAAAAGAAGAAAGGAAAAGAGAAAGGAAAGGAGAAAGGAAAGGAGGAAGAAAAAGGAGGAAAGAGAGAGAAAAGAAAGAAAGAAAAAGGAAGATAAAGAGAGAAAGAAAAGAGAAAGGAAAGGAAGGAGAGGTGAGGGGGGAGAGGGGTAGAGAGAGAGAAGAAAGGAAGGGAAGGGAAAGGAAGGGGAGGCAAGGGAGGGGGAGGGGAGGGGAGGGGAGGAGGAAGAGGGGAGGGAAGGAGAGGGGGAGGGAGGGAGGGGGTGTGGGCGGGCAGGCAGGCAGGCAGGCCAGCCCTTGCCAACTCATCCTATGATTCTGATATTGCCCCAGTATCAAAATCAGACACAGGAAAAGAAAACTACAGACCAGAGGTGGGAAACCTTATCATATTGGAAGGCTGCATTTATTTACCTGTAATCAAATAAGGCCAGATTTAAGAAACTTCAACTAACTATTCTTACAAATGTACATAATTTTGTAAAAATATAACTACTATGTACTTAATAATTTTAAAAAATGAATTTTAAAGTTACCTTTTAATGACTTTTGTTGTATCTGCTTTTTGTTGGGAAATATTTGAATATTTGATTGCAGCATGGAGGTCTGCAGTTTCAGCTGATCCTGTGGATGGGTATCAGTCACCTGTGACCTTAAGGGCATCTTGATTTGGGTCAGGTAGGAGAATGTAGATCTGCAGCAGTAAGTGGCTGAAAAGCAAGAAAGTATTTCTCCAGCACGTTGCAGAAAGTGTGGGTATTCTGCATTTTTCCATAATTCACCTGGATCTTTCTTAACAACAAACAATGACTTCTACTGTCATTGTTGTCATGTCATCTACTGAGAAGCTCAATCAATTCCATCCATCGTTCTTTAGGTGCCTTGGTGATACCAACTAGGTGAGGCTGAAATGCTAATTTGAGTGTGATGTCATGATTTTCAAAGCCAGTGAACCTTTCACTGTATTCTCTAATTAATAAGTCTATAACAGCTGCCTGTTCTTCAGATGATTTCCATATAGTATCCTGCTAATCAATGATCTTTGCTAACTGGGGAAAATGTTCACCTGAAATTTCGTTTTGAAGAAGTGTTTTGGAAAGATAGCTTTTTTTGAAATGTTTGGATTTTTTGCCACATATCACATATATACTTAGATTTAAAAACCTTGCAAAGACAGATCATTTTGATTTGACATGGTATCACACAGAATGCTGCATTCCTATAGAAATCTTCTTTTAATAATTTACATTGCTGATTCTGTTATTCATAAAATTTGATTATCTGTTCTCACAGAGATAAAATTTTGGCTAACACCTATCCCTGTGACAGCCAATGCACTTTAGAATGATAGGGCAAATCCACACTCAATACCTCATCCTTCAACTTTTGCATGTTACAAAATTAACAATGTCGTGTTGCACTTGCACAAATATAGTGAACAATACTTGTCACTTGCTGCAAAGTGTCACTTAAAATAGCAGCTTTAGCTATTTTAGCAGCTTTAGATTTTGCAGATGCAAGATACAATGAAAACAAATGAGAGCCTCTGAATCTGTTCATAATTTTATCTGTGCAATAAACATTTCATCTTTCCCATCACAGAAGTTGCACCGTCTATAAATACACTAAATTTACCAAATTCAATCCAACTTCACAACATTTATCTTGGAAGTTGTTGAAGATATCTATTCCACATGTTCTGTTCCCAAGAGTTGCCCATAGACAGTAATTCTTCGTAGCAAAGATGATCTTTTTGATCATCTTTATGATCTTTTGATCATCTGTTATGACCCAAATGAAGTATAAAACCTGCGCCAAGTCAGTATTATCAATTGATTCATCCAAAGCGACTGAATAATATATATTTTCCTTTTGAAGTCCTGCATGAAGTTGTTCTGTTAAGTCAAAGGCTAATTCATGCTGCTATGGTTCACCTTGAAAGAGGCAGTCCTTTGTACTAAAAACATTATCCGGGTCTAAGGATCTCACAACTTCAACAATACATTCTTTCACAATTTCTACATCACTGAATGGCTTCCCTTTTTCCCCAAGTATATAAGCTACTTTGTAAGTTTCTTCAGTGGCATTAGTCTCACGTCTTATTGCTGCTTCATAGAACTGTCTTTGTTTCTGCTTTTCATCTTTTAATTTCTTCAATACAACCTTTCACGCCTCTTCCTCTAATTTAAAATATTTGTGGTCCTTACGAGCGTTATGGGCATTGAATTTCTTTAATGTTGATATTGCAGTATCACAAAGCAAGCAAATCATCTTATCTTTAGCAGAAACAAAATAAAATTGCAATTGCCAACCCTTATTAAAAGATATTTTCTTCAGAATTCTCTTGGTCTTCTTTGACATGATGGACTATTAAGCAGACAGAATTTAAAAATACTGTTGAGCTGTGCAACTCTTCACATTCCACTTCAGACAAAAACACAGTGCACCACTGTCAAAAGCTCGTAAGACTGGCGTACTCGACCCCATAAACTCTCACCAACCAGCCTCATGAGATAGTGAGCCAGCTGGGCAGGGGAAGTTAAAACTAGATCACCAGGGTAGCAGCTGTCAATTTAGCCTCTTATGGCTAATGTTCTAATTGTGCCAGTCAATGTGGGAGGATTATTTTGTTAAAACTTATTTTATTCTTTGGCATTCTAAATACGTTCATTTTAAAAATAAAAAGATAAAAATGTATTCATAAAAATAAAAGAATATGTTCTGTAAAATTTGGATTCATTCAAAAAGCCATACTTAGGGACCTAGAAGGTCACAAGTTCCTCACCCCTGCTACAGACCAATGTGACATGACTATAGACCTATGAATCCTCAACAAAATACTAGCAATTTTTGTCCAGTAACATAAAAAGGATTCTACACCAAGATCAAGTGGGATTTATCCTCATAATGGAAAACTGATTTATCATTTGAAAATCAATTAATACACTACATAAGTAGACAAAAGACAACCAGTCATCTCAATATACACAGAAAAAGCATTTTACACAATTGAACACTTTTTTTCTTGATAAAATCAGCAAACTAGAAATAGAGGCAAACTTCCCCAACCTGATAAAAGGCATTTGCAAAAAGTCCACAGATAACATCATACTAACCGATAAAAAGTAGAATGATTTTCCTTTAAGTTCAAATAAAAAAGATGCGAAATGTACTCTTGCCACTTACCCAGAAGATTCTAACCGAGAAAAGTGGGGTGGGGTGGGGTGGGGAGAAGCATCCGGATTGGAAAAAAAGAAGTAAAACTATCTGTATTTGCAGTAGCATGGTCTAAAATATAGAATGTCTTAGAAATCCACCAAAACATCATTAAAACTAATAGAGTTCAACAACATTGTAGGCTATAAGTTCACTAACAATGAACAAGCCATAAATGAAATTAGAAAGATAATTACATTTACAACAGCATCAAAAAGAATAAAATACTTACAAATAACTTTAATCACGAAGGTACAGAACTTACCATATGAAAACTAAAAAATGCTACAAAGAAATTAAAGACAGCTTCAATAAATGGAATGGCATCATATAAAGTTCTTATCATTAAGATGGCAATAAATGCCAAACTAACATCTAAATTCAATACAATCTATACCAAAATCCCAACTGCCTTTTTGTAAAAACTAACAAACCAATTTGAAAATTCATGTGAAAATTTAAGAAACTGAAAATAATTAAAACAATCCTGAAAAAGTAGAAGATTCCCCATTTCAAAATTAGCTACAAAACTACAATATCAAGACAGTATAGTAATGGGATAAGGATGAACACATGGAATGAAACTGAAGAGTTCATAAACACATATATATGTTCAGCTGATTTCCAACAAGGATGCCAAGAAAATTCAATGATTAAAAGACAATGTTTTCAAGTAATGATGCTAAGATAACTGCATATTTACATGCAAAACAATGAAAATGATTCCTTTGCTCATACCATACACAAAAATAATTGAAAATGGATCACAGATCTAAATTTAAAAGTTATTTACTTGGCCAGGTGTGGTGGCTCACACCTGTAATCTCAGAACCTTGGGAGGCAGAGGAAGAGGACCGCTGGAGGCCAGGAGTTTGTGACCGGCTTGACAACATAGTGAGACCCTATTTCTATAAAAAATAAGAAAAACTAGTGGTTTTACAGTTATATAGTGACACATAACTGTAGTCCCAGGTACTCAGAAGGCTGAGGTGGGAGGAACTCCATCAGCCTAGAATTTCAAGACTGTAGTAAGCTGTGTATATCAACTGCACTGCAGCCTGGGTGACAGAGGAAGACCTTCTCAAAAAAAAAAAGTTTTTATTTGAAGAAAATATACTAGTGAATCTTTGTGCCCTTGGGATTGACAAAGCCTTTTTTAGATACAGTACCAAACATACAAACAGGAAAGAAAAAAAAAAGAAAGAAAAGATAAAAGAAAATGGACTTCATGAAATGAAAAACTCTTTTGCAGAACTCAATAAAATCACAATCCACAAATGGGAAAAAATATGGCAAATAATATACCTATAGGGATGGGTACACAGAATACGTAAAGAACTCATACAACTCAACAATAAAAGGACAAATAACACAATGAATAATGAAAAAAGCAATTGATTTTTTTCATATTAAGCTTGTAGCCTGCAACTATGCTATAAAGATATATTCATTTTGGGAGTCTCTCAATTCTTTAGGATTTTCTCCTTCAACAATCATGCCTCTGAGAACAAAGGGTTTTATTTCTTCCTTTTCCATCTGTATACCTTTTAATTGGTTGTCTTGTTGCATTATCTATGATTTCCAGTAAGATGCTAAATAATAGTGGTAAGAATGGACATCCTAGCCTTATTCCTTATCTTAGGGAAAGAGCATGCAGTTTCTCGGCCATAAAGTATGTCTGCAGCAGGGTTTTTGTGGGTTTTTAAAAAAATTACATTGAAGAAGTTCCCCTCTTTTCCTAGTTTGCTTAGTTTTTATCATGAATCAGTGTTAGATTTTGTAGATACTTTTTCTGCATCAGCTGATATATGATTTTTCTTCTGTAAGCTGTTTGATGTGGTGGATTGATTAACTGATTTTCAAATGTTGAACCAGCCTTGCATACCTGAAATAAATGCCAGTAGGTCATAATGTCTATTTCTTTTTTTTTTTTTTTTTGAGACAGAGTCTCGCTTTGTTGCCCAGGCTAGAGTGAGTGCCGTGGCGTCAGCCTAGCTCACAGCAACCTCAAACTCCTGGCTCAAGCAATCCTCCTGCCTCAGCCTCCCAAGTAGCTGGGACTACAGGCATTCGCCACCATGCCCGGCTAATTTTTTGTATATATATTAGTTGGCCAATTAATTTCCTTCTATTTTATAGTAGAGACGGGGTCTCGCTCTTGCTCAGGCTGGTTTCGAACTCCTGACCTCGAGCAATCCGCCCGCCTCAGCCTCCCAGAGAGCTAGGATTACAGGCGTGAGCCACCGCGCCCGGTCTATTTCTTTTTTATACACTTTTGGATTCCATTTGGAATTTTGCATCTATATTCACGAGATATATTGGTCTGTGGTTTTTCTTCCTTGTAAAGTCTTCATCTGCTTTTGGGATGAGAGAAATAATGGCCTTAAAGAGTTAGAAAGGTTCCCTCTGCATCTCTTTTGTAAAAGACATTGTAGAGAACTGATTTATTTCCTCCTTAAATGTTGAGTAGGAAACACCAGTGAAACCAAGAAAG